TTTGTAAGATTGTTATGGTTTGTGTCTAGGTGTCCCCCCCAAAGCCTCATGCAATCTTGGGACAGCTTCTGGAGTTTGTGATTGATTATTGTGGGTGTGGATACTGCACTTGCCCTGGGCAGGTGATCTGTATTACAATGAAAGGTGGAAAGAGAAGCTAGCTGCTTGAGCTGCTGCTACCCCTCCCTTGTGCTCTTGCTTTTTGCTGCCACCATGAAAGGTTGCTTTCTGCTACGTGCCCCTCTGCCTTGGAGCCAGCTGAGTGTGGACTGAAACCTCCAGTGACTGTGAGCTAAATAAACCTTTCCTTCCTTCATTTTGAGTGCTGGGTATTTGTCCCAGCAACGAGAGAAGAGTAACTAAGACAAAGATTCAACCTTGAATCTTTTTTCCTGGTTGAAGAATTCTAGTCATTGTACTTTCTGTCCTAAGAAAGTGCTTATTTAAGAGATATGCTTTTATTTAATGTTTTTCTTTTGTATGGCAACTGTTTTGTTTTTACTTTTATGTATGTACATATGCATTATTATTTTTTAAAGTGAGTACAAATTAAAATTAAAAGAAAAATGACAAATGATATAGAATTTCACTTAACAAAATAATATGTTTCACAGTATTCATTGTAATACATAGTGTTGTCTTCCAACTAGTTATTCATGTTACCAGATATATTTGGAAGAAGAAAGAAATGTATAGGAAATTAAGAAAAGCACAAACAACTGAAAAAAGGAGACAAAACAAATGAAGCATTATCTGTTCCTTTCCATAGACCAGCAGAAATGCACAGTACAATTGTCCAAACCATCCTGCTTACATAGCTAGATAAATCTCTTTTGCCCACTCCTGCTCCTGTCCTTCTCCTCAACTCAGTAACTGTTTCCTTCTGGATAAATTCATTCCCTTTTCCCAGGATCTATTCTACCTTTTGGATTCCATGTTTCTCTTTCAGGTTCTCATCCAAAGGAGACAATACGATGTTTGCACATTCTGTGCATTTTATTAACACAGACACGCGATCCTGTTTGCACTCTGTATTATCTTTATGCGCTCAGTACGTTTTCTGTTGACTTGTGGCAGAGCAGAAAAACAGAGCTATATGAGATGAGATCGAAAAATGATGCGGAGGTCCGATTGCAGTGGGGGAGATGGGACAACCGAGGCACTTCAGAAAGTCCCACGGACTTCCTAAAGAAAGCGCTACAGTTTCCTCCTGAGTTTTTCCAACAGTCTGTGTAAAGAGGGAAATTTGAACCGTTACATGAGTCACAGCATCCATAAAAAGAAAGCAGAACAACGGCTCTGGCAGAAAGTTTGTTCAGTTTCTGAAGGCGTTCACTTTGGTTGAATATTCCCACCCCGAGCTGTGCCAAAGCTTGGACTAAGTGGATATTTGGCAGGAACCAAAAAGTTATCTTTCCTTTAAAAAGTACAGGCTGTTAGACTTTGTGGATGTGGATGTAGAAGCTTAGAAAGGTTGAGATTTAATCACTTGAATTAGAGTTTTAAAAATTATATCTCATGTATGATTAAACTACTTTTAATTATATGTGATAACTTCAAAACTTGTACTAACTGATGTGTAAAAGAGGAGAAATTTTTAAAAAATAGTCATGTAGAAATGTGGAAATTTAAAAGGTCCTACCAAGCCTGAAGCAAGGATCAATTATTCAATATTGCTAAAACCCTAACCCAGTTCTGGAGGTCACACAGGAACAGGTCCATCCCTAAGAGAACGTGTGGCTTCAGCTTTCTTTAGAATATGGGCGCAGTCGAGTCAGGATTTTCTGTTGAGGTTCCACCTCTCAGTTCAGCTGTCCTTGTGGCGTGCAGCCAGCCACAGCTCTTCCCTGGCTGGTGGGGAGGCAGTGAAATTAGTGACTGCAAAGAGCTGTGACGTTCCCACCCCAGGGCTCCCAAGCGCAGAGGTAGAATGAGGCCAGGAGTGCCCTTTCCCCTTGGTTAAATACTTTTTTGGGTTAAAGGGAGGCACAATAATGTGACCGCCAGAGGGCAGCAATGCACTCTAGATAAATGGAGCAGGCGGGAAACTTTCTTCTGACTTACTCCCTAAATTCTCCGCTAGGTGACAGTAACGTGAACACAGTTGGAAAGGTCATTCGTGGATTATGTGGGAAAAAAAAATTAATCCTTTTACTAAATATGAAACAGTATTTTGAAAAAACACGCACAGTTGGAGTTCTTTTTCTCTAGAATATTTCACATGCTAGTTGATTTACTTCAACACAGTAACCTAATATGCAAAAATAAACAACATTAAAAACACCAATTTTGGTGAGGGATATGGGAAAGAATTTGGGGAAGATTATTATCTGAAAATAAATTAGGGGCCGTGGAGATAGCTCAACAGCCTAAGCGCTTGCCTGGTAAGCATAAGGTCCTGAATTTGGTCCTCAGTATCACAAAATGCATAAATAAAAATCAATAAGTAAACAAATTCGTTAAGAATTTATGAAACACAGATTCTCTTATTCCAATTTAGAATGAACAAGTGAGTCTAAAATAGCCAGTGTTGAAGACAATAACAATTATTATTTATTGCCCAGCTATTTGCCAAGAATTGTATTTAAGTGTTTTAAAAACATTAGTTCATTGAACTTGGATCGGAGACTTCCAAGAAATCCCAGATTTGAGCATAAGCCTATTTAGAGTCATCATTTTTGTATTTTCCATGACCTTTTGCTTTTTCTGTTTGAGCCACTTTAGCAAAAACCCGCAGTAAAGAAGAAATTAGCATTGCATGCTAGGCATGATTTTGAGTGAAACCAGAATTGTATTCTCTGTACGTAGGACTTTCACTCTCACTTAGACACAGTGCTAAGTCAAAGAAGGACAGCAATGCTTCTTGATTCCACAGAAATCCTGAAGGCTAAAACTGAAGATTAGTTTTCGAGCAAGAGCAAGTTGTAAATTCATTCATGCTGAAAAATAAATGCCTGTCAGTATCCTAAATAAGAACAGCAGGGGAGTAGGTAGAGCAGAGAAATCCAACATGCTTGACTGAGAAGCTAAGAGAGACAGGAACAGGTTGGGAGTCCAGGTCCTAACCTGGCTTCATTCTTCCGTGGTCACCTTTGTTTGTTTAGCAAGCCCTGCCTGCACATTGTTCTATCCAGCTGCATGTAACCGAGTGCAGCACAAATGCTTTCGGTGTGTGGCAGGGCCTTGAACATGCATTAGCTCCCTTCGATGTAAATGCCTGGCAGAGTTCTGATGACAGCCATTCGAAGTGATGTTACATAAGCACTCACTGTGTACCTTGGCTTTCCTCAAGGAAACCCACAGTGAAGAAGACCCCAAACCTCTAATTTCTCCTCTAATGTGGAGAGAGTAGAACCTACCATAGAGGAAACAAAACTTAAGAAGTCAGGAACTGCAAAGCAGATTAAGACAGTTTTTTGTCCACAATGATTTTATTGACCAGTAAAACTACATTTTAATACACTTGATTTCAAATGTTTTGAGAGAAATACACAAAATAATAATGCAAAGTCAGGGAACCAAAGCATGGTTGAGTCTAAAGGGAAGAGGAGAAAGACCCTCTTTTGATTTCTGTGCCCCTGTAGTTAGGGTGTGGTGTCTTCTAAAGAAGAGAAAGGAGTGGCTCTGAGGGCCTCAAGGAAGGGGGTCCTAGGAGGTAGGGAAGAGCGGTAGTCCCGTGATCTGTACCCAGAACCCTGCCCCCAGCTATCAGCAGGCAGCAGAAGATGAGCCCGGGAAGCCAGTGATCTGACATAAACCAGCACGAACAACTGCCACCAACCGAGCAATTCAATCCCAGGAGCCTGGCATGGTTCTCATTTCTCTTTCTTACTTAATCATAGCCAGCTCCGCTGCAGAGGTGGTGTTATCCCTTCTGTGAAAATGTCTTGCTTGGGGTCCAATAGTTAAAAAATTGGCATGATATGTATTCAAATCCATTACTTTGGCAGTGTCTCATGCTTTGCTAGGGCCCTCCAGCCAGGCCATGGCTGGTGACATATGCTAGCCTTCATCAGGGAGCACACTAGACAGTGTGCATAAATTATTAGGCACACTTGGATCAAAATGTGAGAGGGGAAAAAACTGTTCAAAGGAAAGGAACAACTGGGATGAGGAAAAGGAGAAAAGAAAGAAGGAAGAAAAAAAATATATATAGGATAGCTTGGATAATTGTACTGCTGATTTCTGGTTGTCTATTGAAAGAAACAGTTAATGCTTAAATTTTATTTATCTCTCCTTTTTAATTTTTTAGAATCTTTTGATCACTCTTACTGGCCTATATCTGATAATCTGAACAACTAATTTGAAGACAAGAGTATGCAATATAAACATATAGAACCATTGTTGAATTCCATTCATTTTGTTTACTGAAATTCTGTATCATTTCTTTTTTTTTTGCTATTTTTATACTCTCTTTAAAAATGAAAAAAAAATTTAAAATTCTACAGCAAGAAAAAACTGTAATTAAACAGATCACTGTGACCTGTCAGTTAATTCTGCTAAAATTGAATCACTAAGGGCATACAAAAGATACTGAGAAAATAAGAACAGAATTGAACAAACTCCCCAAATTTTTCCTTTTGACTTAGCTGGAAAATGATCAGCTCCATCTTTCTCAGTGCCTTAGGTGGAATGGGTGGAGAGGAACTTATCGTATTTTAAAAGCAAGGAGAATATGATTTAGTATTGCGACAAAGCTGCTGATAATCATTGATACTCTTTTTTCCTGTATAGAATTATTTAACCGTGGTTGTATAATAACTTTTCTGTGGTTACGATCCTCAGAATTGCTTCCCAAAGAAAAAAGCATGGGCCCAAATTTGTATACACATTTCAGAGACTGAAGTGGGGCATATCACAAGCAATGCTCACATTCCAAAGAACCACTACATTTAATTGAACACTCAACAGAACATTCATACTACATGAAGACCTATTTTTGCAAACATTTATAAAACACGTTTTAAAAATTGAAGGTGGCTCAGTCTGTGGTAGTCTCTTCAGGTGAACAAAGTGCTGATAGTTACTATGGTAACCAAGATGGTGGCAACAAGGAGTACTATCAAACCCATCCGACATAATTTGGACCGCTTGTCATGCTTCGTCTTCTTTTTCAATAAGGTGTCAAAACCTGGTGTGTACATGTCTCCCAACCAAAATCGTAAGTCATTAGGATTTTCCTGAAAGAGAAGTACATAGAGAATGCTGTATTACACATCAGTAATCAGTGTTACCAACTGAGATTGGAAAACAAGATATTGTCAGACATACTAAAGGTTTGTATTCAAACTGCTCTAGGTGAAACTTTAGTGTCACAGCCCAAGTAGGAGAGGCTCGGCTTCTCAGAATACATGGGTGTGCTGCAGCTGCCCCTGGATGCCAAGAGATCTGTGTAGTTAGCATTCAGGCCTGCAACAGAATTCAACAGGGGGCCTGAAAAACTTCCTTAATAACTTGATCACATTGGAAGGTCAGAAACCCCACAGTGATTCTGTCATCTTTCAGGCAATTCTTACATCTTGTGAATACTGCATGTCAATCAGGTTAGAGAGCTGAAGTAGAATGAAAATTCCTTGCCTTAGATGAACCTTAGAAGTTGATTTTGTCTGCGTGGCAGGTACAAGTGTGCTTAGTGAGTTGTCAAGAAAATCCAGAAGCTGGCATCTAAGCAGCGAGAGTGAGACTGGGTGTCAAGAGTCCCTTCTATGAGTCTCACCTTACGGTCTTCCTCCTAGGGGTTGCAGTGCTTCTGCCATGCTGCAGCTTTGTCACTGTCCAACCTCCCAAAGGGAAGAGCTGATCTAGCCATGACAGCAGCTGTGCTCCATGGCTCATTTTCCTTTCAATGCTAGAGAATTATCTTCATGTCAGTACTCTCTCCTGCAAATGCAATTGTCTATACAAAATAATATAGCTACTCTTCAATCATTTTATGCTATGTTTCAGTGCTACTGCTTCAGTATCTACGTCTGGCATTTGCTAGGTAGAGCAGATATTTGCAGGAAATGCTGAACTGCACTTGTCACAAAGCCATTTCAAGCCTCAGTGTCTCTAATCTGGATGATTACAAGGGCTGAAAGCAAGCTGCCCACCCTCTCTAGTTTCAGTGGATTTAGCGTCAGCTGGAAGTGCGGCCCAGACCTTTCTGTAGTTGTCAGCCTCAAGGGTCACTGAACTAGCATCAGAGTCACTGGTGCACTGTTAGGAGCAGAACACGCATGCATCTAAGGAGCTGTGATGGCTTCGCCAAGGTTACTACACGCCTCCAATGTAGTGGCTGAAGCTTGAACTTCCTCATCTTAGAAATGGTCAAATATTACAATAAAATTTGGATTGGTATGTGCAGAAGGATTTAAAAACCCTCTTCTATCTCACTCTCATCTTTCCAAATCAGGGGCCTACATTTTGCCTACAAGTTTAATGCTTTTGTTGTGCATTAAAAACTTCATAATGCAGATTTCCTTTGTTACACTCTTTTTCCAGCTCGGTTTGGTAATTAAATATAGGATTTTTCTTTTTTGACTTAAAAAAAAATCTGAAGAATTTAGAAAAATAGGAACAGACTGAGGCATCTGGAACATTTATAATTGGTAAATTACATCAAAATTTCAGAAAATATGTTAGGGGATATGTGTACTAATTTTGAGACAAGGACAGAAGTGGTGACAAAGGAATTGAATTAACAAACAATAGAACAAAGTTCCAATAACATTAGAAGTCATGGGCTCCAGAACTTTCTTTATTGCTTCCCTCAGAAGTCAGTGCACCGGCCATAGGCCTGAGGGTTATATGAATAATTATGAACATAGAGGATGAGGTAGGTCTAGAGACAGGTATTAGTTTTATTTTTTATTTTTTTATTTTTTTTGGCGGGACCAGTGATTGAACTCAGGCCCTTGCGCTTGCCAGGGAAGCACTTATTCCACTGAGCCATCTCCCTGGTCCCCAGGTATTAGTTTTAGAAAACAATATATCCATTAAAGCCTGTCTTCCTTAAACATATTGTTCAGCCTAAAAACACTGTTCTTCAATTTCCTTAGTCTAACACTCAAGCTTGGTTTATTAGCTTTTGAAAATTAAACTCATTTTTAACTCAAACATAAAGCCTATGATGTCTAAATGAAGTTAAGCATATCTATCTTCTCAAACATTTGTCATTTCTGTATGCTGAGATCATTCAGAATATTTTCCATAGCTTTGCGAAATATAAGTGTCCAACCATCACCTGTTACCACCCTGCTGCATAATAATACACTGCAGATGATTGCTTCTAATTGCACTTGTCAAGCTTTCACTGTCACCTCTATTCTCAAACAATCGCTTCTCTTTTGGGAGATTTCGTAACTTTCCCTGCCATTACGCTTAAGCTGGGCTTCTAGCAAAACTGGTCTACTGAGTGTTTTCACACTTTCATGCAGTTCTTTCTTTTCTCTTGCTGTTCAAGTCAGGAGAATCTCTACTGTTGCAAACCTTCTAGATCTTTTGGGATTTCACCTATACCTCAAGCTCACTATGACTTAACTTTGTCATGAACACTTACATAATCTCATGTGCTTTCCCTCTTCCAAGTCTTCCCAAAATTTTCTACTGCAATTATAGACATGTTTCTATATTCTATATCTTAGGGATTGAATTCAGGACCTTGTGCTTGCAAGGCAAGCACTTATTCCACTGAACTCTCTCCCTAGCTCCTAGATCAACTTTTTGAAGGCAGAGACATAACGTAGATTTATGCAATTTCATTATCATGTACATAATCAGCAAAGGCAAGAGAAGATGTCCTAGAGATATATCACCAATGTTTGAATATGTGGGATGTAAAGCAATAAAATTTAGTTTCCAAAGACTGTATTCAGAACTCTTGATTTTAAGCTCTTGATATAGAAAATGAAAGAAATAAAAAGAAAAATGGAAGAAAACAAAACAAAACAAAATATATGATAATTGTTTTTTTCAGGAACACCTGTTTTGTAAGCCTCTTGGAAAGCCAAGACAGTAAGCCAAAACCTATTACTCTAGGAAATATTCAAAGTACTAAGAAAAAAAAAACATCAACTATTCTATACTGCAGGATATTTTGAGCATGAGCATTTGAAAAACTGTGTGAAGGATTTAAAGGACATGGTACTGTCCCATTCCAAAGGAAAAGAGTCTTCAGGCGCTGGCAGCGTGCGACTTGGAACAGGCAGGCATTCCAAGACAGAGTGCTTGGAAACAGTGTCAGCATCCCAGGCAGAGGCCGGTAGAGGCAGGCCAAGGCTGATCATGAATCTGGTCCTTTCAGAAAATGAAGTGCCTCCCTCTCTGCTTTTCAGGTATTTCTAAGTCTTTTATGTGTGTATAAGACTTCAGGGGAGGAAAAAGGAAAGAAGAAAAAAAAGAGAAAGAAAAAAAAACTTAGGTTGGGTTTAAGCTGAGTGAATGAGTTCATTGCATACTTTTCCTGTGTTGAAATGTTTTTATTTTGTTTTGTTACTGAGACACAGGAAAATGACCAAAATGTCAATCTGTAATTTTAAGTCACTGGGTAGGCTTGATATAAAATTATCCTCTTAAATATTTTTTTGAACAGTGCCTAAAAGAGCACTTTGCAACTATATATATCATCTGAAAGCAGTCCATAAGTGTTCGTGAACATAAATGTTTACATACTCTGGGAAAACATGAAATCTTGAAAATTAGTTGTGAAAAACCATTTACTTTTCCCAAAATTCTTCATTCTATGTCACATCATTTTGTTTCTTCTACATCA